GAGGTCAATTTTGCAAAAGGTTAGCGTTGGATTAGGAATGCATCTTCACACCAAGTCACTATAGGACAAACTAAACAAGCAGGCAGAAGATTTACTGAACCCTCCTGATAGTACGAATTTGGTGGAACACTCAGGAAGGGCTTGGTTTCTGATGATCTGGCTGGGATGAACCATGCACAGTGCACCGCTTTCTAAATTCATTTTGGGTAATTGGAATTTTATAAATGTCCTGTTGAATCATTTTGCCCCAGGGGACCTGGGAAGGGTTGTTTCCCCTTCACTCCACTGGGCTAGTTGAATAGCAATACAGGTATTCCTTGTTTTAAGAAAAGTGGAGATAAGAAAAAAATCTATATTTCCAAGCAAATGTCTTAGAGACTGATAGTTAACTTTACAAAAGAGTTAAGCTAGGAATCTTTAAATAGTGAGTGACTATAAGTAAATTGTTTTACAGCAGTCTGTCTCTTTTTTTCTACCCTTGCATTAGGAAGACTCTATCTACTGTCTTACTTCCAAGGATTTTAGGAAGTAGTTCTGGGCAAAAATAAGGAATTCTGGCAGTCAAACTTAGAAATGGGCTACCAGCACTTTCCTTAGAAACTTTTCCCTTTGTCCTTTGTCCCAGTGTGCATTATTTCAGTCATTTCCATGGTAGATAAGAATTTGTGTTCTTACAGTTTTATTTGGCAAATGACTTTTCCAGTTACTGGAGATGGGCAGTAGACAGCCAACCTGTTATGGTAACACAGAGGATTTAGTTCTGGACATAATTTTTGCACCTGCTAATGGCTGCTTCGGTGACTTAACTTCTTGTGCCTTATCCTCCCCAGCTAAGAAGTTGCACCCCCAGCTTTCCTCTTGAACTTCAGTGATGTCTGAGTTCTGAGCTGATCTGAGCTGAGCTCTACAGCCAGCACTGAGGCTGGTCTTATTTCTACATTTTACTGGAGGTGTTGGGAGTTGGGAGGAGGCTGTGTGAACTTTGTTCCCTTCCTTTGGGTTGGAAGGTCTTTCCCGGAGGCTGATGACTTTCTCAAGACAGGAACACAGAAAAAGCCCATGGGATTTTTTTCAGAGACTTCCAACAGGAGTTTCCAAAACCCATTTGCTACTGTTCACTGGTCCGAAGCTATCCCAGAAAATGTCTCCAGAGCTTGGCCCAGTGGTCTAAGAGAACTTGAACATGGAATTAGCTCTTAATAAATATTTGTGGAATGTTGTTGGCACAAAACACACATACCACCCTCCATCCCTACCCACAGAGGCAGCTCCACATGCACATTTGACTACTGAATTCCATGTCATGTTCTGGAATGTGCTGACCTTCCTTCCTAGGGAAGATGACACTACTGGAGTGTTATTATTAGTAGGGCAGGTTTTGCTCTGATCTGTCAACACTCCCTCGCTCCGGGTCTTTATTAAGCAATGACAAACTCAAGAACCTGTGGCAGTCAACACAACTGACCACCCTCTCCTTGAAATCTCTTCTTTTGGCTACTCTCACCCCATGTTTCCAGTTTGTGTCTACCGCTTTGGCCATCCTTCCCAGTTTCCTCTCGGTTCTTTCTTTTCATTGTAGTTGAGTCTAGGACTCCTCTACATGCAGTCCTACACCTTTTTCTCTCTCTTCTCTTCTCTCCTCATCCTTTCTCTTCTTTTCCCTTTTCTTAGATAACTTCATTAGTTCTCATGGTTTTGATGACCACCTATTTAGCAATGGCTCCTAAATTTATATGTCCAACCCACATTTCTCTTTTGTGTTAGAAATCCATATATTTGACTCTCCACTTGACATTTCCACCAGTGGTCTCCCAAACTTGGCAAGTAACCAATATGCCCCAAACAGAGTGGCCCCCCCCTCCCCTATCACATGTGCTTCCTCTATGCTTTCTATACTCTTTCTCATCTGAGGAAGTTTCTCTGTAACCCACCCAGTTTCTTAGGTCAGAAACTTGAGACTATGTCTCATTATCCCCACACTCTCAACCTTCTAACAGTGGTCGAATCCTATCAATTATTTCTTTACCATCCTGAAATTTCCACCTTGGCTTAACGATCCTTGTCTCTCCCCTGGTAGATGCATCAGCCCTTCTAACTGGCTTCCTGGCAGCGATTCCTGCATCTCTCCTTTCCCCTGCCCCCCACAATTTCTTTTCTTAGACAGAAGCTTCTTCCTTACTACCTTCCTTTTTGATGATTTAAATCTTTATTTGTGCTTTCCTTATTTAAAAATATCTTCTCAACTTTCTATTTTGAAATGATGATAGCTTCATAGAAAGTTACAAAAATATATTATAGAGAGGTCCCATGTGCCCTTCATTCAGTTTCCCCTAATGGTAACAGCTTACATAACTACAGTACACTCTCAAAACCAGGCAATTGACACTGATGCAATTATTCGTATTTTACCGGTTTTACATATAACACACGTGCATGGTGCTTATGTGTGTATACGTATGGCTCTGTGCAATCTTACCACATATGTAACCACCACCACCACCACCACCAAGGTACAGACTGCTTGATCACCCCAAAGATCTCTCATGCTAAAGAATGCTCCTTTAAGGCGCAATGTGATCCAGTCACTGCCTTGCTTAAAACCCTTTAATGAGGGGCGCCTGGGTGGCTCAGGTCATGGAGCCCCACATCGGGCTCCCTGCTCAGCGGGGAGCCTGCTTCTCCCTCTCCCTCTGCTGTTCCTCCTGCTTGTGCTCTCGCTCTTGCTCTCTCTCAAGTAAATAAATAAAATCTTTTTTTAAAAAAACCTCAATGATTTTAAAGCCCTAAATCCTAAAAAAAGTGCTATAGGTGCCTGTGTAATCTGGCTCCAGCTACCTCTCCAGCTGCCTCTCGCCTCCCCCCACCCACCCCCAACCACCACCCCAGCGAAGTCCTCTTCATCTGTCAGGTATCAGCTTTAAACATCTTTCTCAGAAGTTTTCCTTGACATCTCTGACTAGGTGAGGTTCTCCTGTGGTTTGTTTTCATTATGATTTTCCTTCATGGAACCTATCACATGTTTGTAAGTAAATAGATACACATGTGGCTTATTAACTTGAGTTCTCTTTGGCTGGACTGGAAGGGCTTGGGTGCCCTACTCACCACTGTGTCTTTTCTGTCTACTGCAATGGCTGGGCTAGCAGGTGCTCAGTGATTGCCTGTTAAGTTCATGAACAATTATCACAAGTCAGCTGGCCGAGGCTGGGATGTGGGCTGAGGCCACAGAACTGGATAAAGTCGACTTGCATATATGGGTATCAGTTCTGTGGACTCATCTTCAACCTTCCCAAGGGTGCTGTGTCTGAAACCTGGGCATCATGGCCCACAACACTCAGAACCTCAAGCCGGTGTTTTCTCTATTACTCCCTCCCCAGTATTGTCTCTGAGAGATTGGAATAGAGAACAACCCTGGCCAGTGTTCTTCTTAGACAGATCTTTGCGATGATTTCAAGAATATCAACTGGATAGTCATCTAGGCTTGTTTCTCTTTGAGATCATTGCCATGGTGTCACTTTGAGAGGGTTATTAGTTCAGAGCTGTGGGAGCTCCTAAGTTGGATGGCACCTCGTGAGTACTTGAAAGGCTTTTAGACCTGCTTTCTCCTGATGCTTCCATGTGTTCCTTGCTAAGTGTCCCCCATGCTCCCTGCTGATGAGTCATGTCCATCCCACTCTTACTCTCTCAGAGACAAGTCAGTGGGGTTTGCATTTGTGGAGCCTCATTGTTGAAGGACCCTTACTTTGACTGAATAGACAGTATGTTCCCAAATGACCACAATGTAACCAGCTGTCTGAATATTTGGAAGGGAGGAAATGGAGGCCTCTTGCTGGGATGTGGCTTTGCCAAGCGGTGGTGGTACCATATGGGGTCCTGAACATCTGTGGAGGGTACTAGGTGGGTGGGACTAACTCTAACTGGTGTCCCCTCTCTGTAGTATCCTTCTTTAGAAGCACGTTTCCTTATGTGCAAGGAGCAATGCAATGCGCCATGTGGTTGGTTTGGCAGAGTTGGGAGCTCTGGAGATGGGTGGCCCCCAGCAGTAGGCAAAGCTTTCAGTTCTTTTGTGACAGACTCAGTTATGGACTTTGCCCTGGGTGCTCTGGGCAGATTTCTGCAAAACCTGGGAACATCATCCAAGTTTCTCTTCCCTGCCAAATAGAAAGTCAAGGGTCTTCACATTCTGTGCCTCATAGTTGTCCTCTCAATGCTGACATCTCTCTTTTGGGTGGGCTGTGGCTGTGAACAGAGTCCAGCCCTTCAGGCCAACCCTCAGGTGATGGGCCACTGGCGTTGTGTGCTCTAAGGTCACAGCTTAATGTCCTCCCCTGATTTGCTGTTGGTTCGGCTACCATGATACTCAGGATGCAGAAGAGTAAGGACCAGTGGGTAGACCTGGTCCTTGCAGTGCTCTGGTGCTGCACCTGCCAGGCCACTCTCCCTGTGGTCTCTGTTGCTGGGCAAGGCGTGGACTTCTGCTGGTCTCCTGGGCATGGGCATGGATTCTTGAGATAGCGGCACAGTGCCTCCCAGTGCCCTTGAGCTCTGCCCTGGGAAACCTCACATGCTCCCTCTGACCTCCTCCCCTGTGCCCAGAGGCAGTGTGAACACCCGTGCGGGTGGGAAGGCCCAGGTCCAAACAGCTCTGATGGGTTGCTCCTGCCACGGTTGATGCTGGGGCTTGGGAAGAAATTTTGGTGCCATTCACAGTGCTCCCTTGTGCAGTGCACGCCACAGTTTCCTTCACCACTTTCTGTCCTCATCAACTGGCTACACCTTCAGGGGGACACATCTCTAAGTGTTAATGCCATTTCTCTCTTGGGCCTCGATCTGATGTAACTGCAGGTGGTTGGGGGGTGTGGGTAGGGCCCCTGTTTTTTCCAGCTTGTGCTACCCTGCCCTCCCTCCAAGGGGGGGCATCAGTGTGTTTCTGGGTAAAGCGATGTCAAGGGGTGACAGGTCAGATCCTCTGACCCTAATGCTGCCGTTTCTGCTTTTTGCAGGTCACCCAAGCTGCCTGCAGTTCACCCTGAACATGACCGAGGCCGTCAAGACCTACAAGTGGCAGTGCATAGAGTGCAAATCCTGCATCCTCTGTGGAACCTCGGAGAATGACGTGAGTTTGGGACTTCCCTTGCGGGATCTGGGAGTCCCTAGAGGGCTGGAGAAGAGGGTGGGACTCTTGTCACTGGGTTCCTAGGGAAATGTTAGCCCCCTGCCCCTTGCCTCCAGGACCTTTGGGATCCTTGCACAACAGGGACCCTGGGTACTCTTTGTGCCTGTGAGGAGAGGTGCAGAGGTGATGGCCAGAGGCTGCATCACTGGCCATTTGCCCTCGAGGTTTCGGTGATAGACAGTGGTGCCTGCTGCTTCTGGTTGGATGTGCTGGACCGTTTACGCCACGTTCCAGAGTACGTGATCTCATTGGGTCTAAATGTTAACTATAATCAATGCAGAATTAAAAAAAAAGACACTTTCTGTTATAGACAATTTCAAACTTAGGCCAAGGTGCAGAAATAACGAAACTGATGTAGCCTATCACCAGCTTCAGCTGTGATCAGTACATGTCCAATCTTGTTTTATAAATACTCCTACCTCCTCCCACATAATTCTAGTCATAATATCACTTTACCTGCCAATATTTCATAGGTTTATCAAAAAGAAAAGGACTTACTTTTTAACAAAAATGATAAAAATGTTAACGCAGCTAAAAAAAATCAGTAATTTCTTAATATAATCAAACATCCAGTTAACATCCTAATTGCTGCAATTGTTTTAAATGTTGCCTTGTCTTAAATATTTTTTATTATAGCTTATTTATTTGAATCGGGATCCACATAAGACCCATACATTGTGACTAGTTGATATTTCTTTTGGCGGGGAGGGAGGGGCAGAGAGACAATCTTAAGCTGACTCTACGCCCAGCACGGAGCCTGAAGTAGGGCTCCATCTCACAACCCTGAGCTCATGACCTGAGCCAAAATCAAGAGTCGGATGCTTAACCGACTGGGCCACCCAGGCGCCTCTATTTTTATTTTTATTTTTTTTAGATTTTATTTATTTATTTGAGAGAGAGTGAGAGAGAGAGTGTGAGGTGGGGGGAGGGTCAGAGGGAGAAGCAGACTCCTGGCTGAGCAGGGAACGTGATGTGGGGCTCAATCCTGGGACTCCAGGATCATGACCTGAGCAGAAGGCAGATGCTTAACTGACTGAGCCATGCAGGTACCCCTATTTTAAAGTTTCTTTTAATATGTAGGTTTTCCCTCCATTTTTCTCTCTTTTTTCCCTTTGAATTTTTGTTGAAGAAATCAGTTAGGGGCGCCTGGGTGGCTCAGTTGTTAAGCGCCTGCCTTCAGCTCAGGTCGTGATCCCAGGGTCCTGAGATCAAGCCCTGCATCGGGCTCCCTGCTCAAGTGGAGAGTCTGCTTCTCCCTCTCCCTCTGCTGCTCTCTCTCTCAAAAAAAAAAAAAATCTTAAAAAAAATAAGTTAATTTGTTCAACAGAGTTTCCCAGGACTGTGTTTTTACTGACTGCATCCCTGTAGTGGTGTTTGACATTTCCCTCTGTCTCTTATGTTTTTTGTACATTGGTGTTTATAACTAGAATCCTGATCAAATTCAGGCTCTTTCTCTCTCTCTGTCTATAATATAAAAAAATATATTATATTATATATGGGCCTTGATTTGACTTTACATATATATACTTATATATATCAAGACTACTTCATAAATAGTGGTGTATTTTTCTTTATCAGAAAGTATGTAATGCCTGGTATATCTCTTTTTTGTGAAGGTAGCAGCTATTGATGACCTTCAATGAGACTGACTATTTCATTAGAGGTTGCAAAATAATGATATTCTTATTTTATAAAATCTTCTTTGTTTACTAGCTGGAGTAATTCTGCAAAGAGAAACTTTTCCAACCTCATATTTGGTTACTCTCAGGTTTAGATTATATAGAAAAGATAGGATAAATGCTTGCTTCTTTCCCTTCATCAGTTTTCAAAATCACAAGGTAGTTTCAACACCTATTCATGAAAGAAACAACAACAAACCACTCAATAAAATTGGAATTGTGGGATACTTTCTTAATATGATAAACTTTTTGTACTTCTCTTAGAACTAAAGCCATTATTTTATTTAATGAGGAAACACTAGAGGCATTTCTACTAAGTTCAGGAACCAAGTAAGGATGCCCACTATTTTCATTATTATTTATCATTATTATAGAGATATTAGCTAATGTGATTAGAAAAGAGAAATCAACTAGAGGTATAAGAATAGTAACAAAGTAGCAAAACTCTATTTCACAAACGATAATAGTGTATCTGGGAAACCCTAGAGAATCAATGATAAAGGTAACTCAAACATTAAAGGTAGCAGGATATAAAATTATCATATAAAAATTAATAGCCTTCATATGCACAAATAACAACCAGTTAGAGGATATAATAGTAGAGAAATCCTACTCATAATAGCAACAAAAAAGAAATACTTAGAAATAAGCTTAACAATAATGTGTAAAACCTATATGAAGAAACAAAATTTTGATGAAAATTTTAAAGCACTTGAAAAAAAACACAGAGGTAGACCTGAGCAAATGGAAAGATATTGTGTGATCTTGGATAGAATGATTCAACACTATAAAGATGTCAGTTCTTCCTGAGTTAATTTACAAATTTAATTCAAACCCAATAAAAACACCAAACAATTAGACAAATTGATAGTAAAGTTCATATGGAAAAATAAACATGAAAGAATAGTCAAGAAAACACTGAAAACAACAAATTATGAGGAGAGACTAGGCCTACCAGATATTAAAACATACTATAAAGCCTCTAATTAAAACAGTATAGACAAATAGACCAAAGGAATAGAAAAGAAACCCATAAATGGACCCAGCTACATATGGATCTTTAGCATTAGGATAAAGGTTGCCTCTAAAATTACATTTTCATGAATGGTGCTGAGATAATAGGGTAACCATTTGGGAAAAGATAAAATTAGGTCCATATCTCACATAATGCATAAGAATAGTCTCCAAATGAACTGGGGATCTAAATATAAAAAATAAAACCATATTAGTGTTAGAAGAAAACATGGGTGAATTCTTCTTTAAATATAAGGAAAGACTGGGGCGCCTGGGTGATGCAGTTAGTTAAGTGTCCGACTCTTGGTTCCAGCTCAGGTCGTGATCTCAGGGTCATGGGATTGAGCCCTGTGTCAGGCTCTGCACTCAGTGTGGAGTCTGCTTGAGATTCTCTCTCCCTCTCTCTCTCTGCCCCTCCTGTTCATGTGCACGCTCTATCTCTCTCAAAATAAATAAATAAATCAATCTTAAAAAAATATATATAAGGAAAGATTTTCTGTGACTCAGAATTCAGAAGCAATAAAAGAAAATACTGACAAATTTGGCCACATAAAAATTTGCATAGTAAAAAACAGATAAAGTAAAAAGACAACTAACAAACTGGGAGAAAGTGTTTACAGCATATACCACAGATAAAGAGCTAATATCCCTAATACTTAAAGAACTCTTAAAATTTGAGGGACAAGGGACCAGAAACCTGATAGAAAATGGGAAAAAGACGTGAAAGACAATTCACAAAAGATATAAAAATAGCCCTTAAACGTTTGAAAAAAAAATAGTTTGAACACACTCATAATTAAAGATTTCAAATTGAAACAAAACTGGGATACTATTTTCTTACCCATAAAACTGGGGAAAGAAGTATGATAATACATTCTGTTGATGAAGCTGTGGGAAAATTGGCATCCTCATACATTGTCAGTGGGAATACAAAGTGGTACCACGCTTCTGTAGGGACATTTAGCAATACCCAACACAACTACTATGCATTTACCTCTTGACTTGGCAATCTCATCTATTAGAATCTACCATAAAGATATAACACTATGAAAATACATGTGCATAAGGTTATTCATGGATGCAACTGTTTATAATTATAAAGTATTAGAAATGACCTAAATGTTATGCAGAGGAATGGTTGAATAAATGATGGCACAGCCACACAATGGAATACTTGCCGCTCTAAAAAAAATGAGGCAGATTCCATACATTTATAGGGATGTATAATTTCCAGTGTATTTCTAAATTTAATATTGGTAAATGAAGAAAGCTAAGTAAAGGCAATATCTATATAGTATGCTGCCATTCTTGTAAGCAAAGTGTAAGAAAATATACATGTATCTGTTCCTTGTGTTAAAGAAATACAGGAAGGATAAACAAGAAACTAAAGAGACTGATTACCTACAGCAGTGGGTGGGAATGAGGTAGAAAGAATGGGGAAACAGGTGTGGGAGAGTAGGGATAAGGGGAGATGGCACTTCTCTGAGAATACATTTTTGTACAGCTCTGACGCTTAGGACCAAGGTATTTTTGCACACATCCTTTATTACACATTACAGGTAACTACCCAAATCAACCATGATGTAGGTGGCGGGGACTGAAACTGGAATATGAACAGTAGCAAATGAACCTAACTATAATGTAAATAGATAGAGCAACCATACTGAGGGGTGGGGAAGGAAAGAACCAACTTTGACAACTTTGGAAAGCAGTATATGACTGTGCATTCTAAGGCTAAAGGCAGAAATGACTACATAAATATTATACTTTAGTTAGTAAATGCGTTTCTTACAGGCATGTAGTAAGTTAGTCATTCTGCAACTAGTTTATGTGTGTCCGGTCTGAACTAATAACTGTACATTGTGGTAATGAGAGCCAGGTTTCTCAATGTCAGAGAAAGAATAATCAAATAGAGGGAAGGCTAGACTGAATCCTATGGTGTTGGGTGGAATAGGGGGTATCGGGATTTTTTGATATAACATATTGTGTATATATATGCTTATATATATATCTATAGCTATATACATATATGCACACATATGGGTAGACACAAAAATAAATATAGGTGTGTGCATGTGTACTACACATACATTTACTTCCTAATTCTGTTGGCTGGGAGGGCCTAGAAACAATGGCAACCCAGAGGCAATGAGGATCCATGGTACCCAAACACTGGTTTCTAAATACCATTCTCCAGTAAAAGGAACTAGGAACCCTTGGATAAATGGCTGGAAAATACAAGAGGAGCCTGGAGCATCCTGTGGTACCAGAAAGTCAGGAAATGCTCAAAAATCGATAAGGCATGTCTAAAGGACACAGGAACCAACTTGAAGGAACTCCTAGTGGCAAGTCTGGGACAAGTTGAACAACAAAGTAAATAATGATATTATTGGATTATAACTCAAAGAACAAAATCCATACTGATATTTTAAAAATTTGAATAAATAAATAGGGACGAATTAAACTCTTCCTCAGAGCAGAATTATAATTAATAAATGTAGAGGGAAGAAGGAAATCACCAATAGGCAAGCATCACCATTCTGGTTGTTGTAAACAAGAACAATCAATTGATGCCCAAATTAGTGGGCAAAAAGTATGGTCAGAAACAGAATATTTGCATAATCTCAAAGTATCTCCCTCACTAGTTTACTTATTAATACATTACAAAGGGAAAAATTATAACATTACAGTGGAAAGACTGACAGACACTACCTTAACTATATGATCAGAGTAACATTACTAGTAACAAGACATATTGGTTTTAATATGCCCCCATATCATGCACTGAGAAGGGCACATCTCTTTTGTAGTATTCTTGCCAAAAGTACATAGCCTCAATCTTCTCATGATAAAAGATCAGACAAACTCAAATTGAGTGACATTCTACAAAATCACTGGCCTAGTTTCTTCAAAAGCATTAAGGTTGTGAAAGATAAAGAAACTGAGAAACTGTCATAGATTCAAGGACACTAAGAAAACATGATGACTAAATGCAAGGTGAGATCCTGGATTGGATGCTGGGAAAAGAGACAGAAGTGGGAAAATTGGTGAATTTCAAATGAGATCTGCAGATTAGTCAATAGTATAATGGTAATATAATATCCTGCTTTTCATGATTGTACTATTGTAATGTAAGATGGTAACATTAAGGGAAGCTGAGTAAAGTGTGTACAGAAACTCTCTGTACCATTTTGCAACTTTCTCTGAGATGAAAATTCTATCAAGATAATAAATCAAAAAATAATGGGATGTTTTCCTAGCATCTTCCAAAGGTGACAACTTTTTTTTTTTAAATAGTATCTTTATGAACTCAAGGATTTAAACATATTTGATTTGTTTCAATCCATTACAGTTAAAATTGTCCTATATTTGGCCAGTGAGAATGTAATCAGGTTAGATCTTGAGTCCTTTTGACATGACCCCAATAGCATTTGATGGTTTCCTTGTTTTCCAATATATGAAAATATTTATACATTTCATGCCCTGGACCTGGAACCAGCCATTTCTTCAAGGACTCCTGGTTCCTTTGAGTGGGCAGTGATCTTTAGAGAACAGAATAGGAGTGCTAGGGGTGCTAAATTTTACTGCAGTAGTCATTATTTTGGGGCATTTTAAATGTACAGAACTAGAAAATATGTTTTGTTTGTTTTAAAGAAAAAATGCTGAATTTGTATGGATACTTGAATTTATACTGCTACTTCTAATTCATACCCAGGACTAACTGTAGGGTTTTTACTTAAACTTCATCAATCTTACATCTGTATTTTCTTTCAAGTATGTCAAAATTCTTTCCAGTAACAACATAATCACTCATTTGATACATAAAGGCCTCAGAATATTAATTCCATTATTACCACCAACAATATGGTTGCTGGAAAGACACACACACACACACACACACACATTTTTGTTCTTAAGGTATATTTGACTCAGGATGTATAGTCAAATACTTGTTTTAAAGTCACTTGGAATAGTTACTTTCTGTGTGGTTATGCCATCAACTAATACATAATTAGATTCACTTGTTTCATTTTTTTTTTAAAGGACAAGAACAGTGTGAATTTTGTTTTATGACTATGCAAAATATTTACTGGTTCCAGAATCAAGTCTATTAAAATAGACAGGAAATTCAAAGAAATCTAGCTTCTATCCCTACTCTTTCACACTATTCCCTCACTCTGCTCATAGGTGACCATTTAAAAAAAATATGGCTTATTTTTTCATTCTATTTAAATATAACATATTACATGAATATGTGTATGAATCCAAAAGAATTCGTGTGTATGAATTAAAAAAAAAGAATGCGTTTTCTTATACAATAGTAACAGACACACCTGTTTTCCTCACCTTGCTTTTTCACTGGATATCCTTGAGATTACTCACTCCGCCACAATATATAGACATAATCTTAATTTCTTCCTACAGCTGCATAGTTCTTCATTAGTTTATTTAACTAGTCTCTTATTGATAGACATTTGGGTTGGTTCTGGTCTTTGGCTTTACAAGTAGTGTAATACAGAGGCTTCTCATTGAGTTGGCAGAGCTGTAGGGGAGGAATCAAGGGGTGAGGCTGCTTGGGCAGTAGGGTTCCTCTCACATAGTCAGAGATTTACCCTGCACATCCCATAATGGGGCTCCCATTCTACTGGAACTTGTTCTTGGGTACTTGGGAGTAAGAGGTATTTAAATTATATTTTTCACTGGGGTTAGCATGAGCTGGCTGATCTGGGTGGTTTTGACGGGCAGCTATCCTGAAAAGCACATGAGAAAGAAGAGAATGTAGTGCTAGACAACAATCAGCCCATGAAAAATGTATTTAAATTCACAGGCGCCTGGTTTCCCTTTGGGAAAGTCTAACCCAGGGTATTCTGCCTTCTTGTGTTTCTTGGGTCAGCAGTATAGCAGCTGTTACGTGTCTTTAAGGCTTTAGTAATACACTTTCTGAAAAGTCTCTCCCTACTTTCTGTTCCCTAACTTGTTCCTCCTTGTATTATTCCTAAATCATATTGTAATTCGCTTACTTCAGCTCCAAGACAATGGTGTGACTTTTTTTGGAGTTAACCACACTGTCTGGGTTTTCATCCTACCTCTCTGACTGTATGTCTTAGTCCCTTTTTTCTCTGCCTGTACCGTAAATTTGGTGTTCCCAAGGGTCTGTTTTTGGTCTTTATCTCAGTAACGTTTTTTGAGTCCTTGATTTTTCAGAAAATTCAGTGAAAACTATGAACTTACTGTCTTCTCAGAAAAATGTACATTTGCACCTATACACAAAGTTGTGCATATATTTTCAAGAAGTTCATGGACATCCCTTTATGAGCTCAAGTTCAAGGACATCTGTGATATACTCTGGGCTTCCTCTCTTAGGCCCTCCACTATCATCTAAGCACCAATGACTCCTAAATCCATAACTCATGATCAGGCATCTCTCCTGATGTCCAGCTGCCTCCAGGGCATCTCCACTGCCTGATCTGTAGATGTGCAGGACATGTCTTTAGCTGAGGCTGCCTTCTGGCTCCCATGGATCTACTCTTCTGCCCATGTCTCAATGGGTAGCTGTATCATCTTGCTGACCAAGCCACAACCTAGGAGACATTCTTGATTTCTTCGCTGTCATTTTCCACACCTCATCATTAACTTTTAAATGGAAACAAGACCATTGTCTTTCCCCCATGCCACAACCCTAGTTCAGGCCACTATCACCTCTCACCTGGATGGTGGCAGTAACATCCTAAGTGGTCTTCCAGCCTCTAGGACCAACCTTTCTCCACCCAGGTATCTATTCTTACACAGCAGCTAGGGAGATCTTTCTAAATTCCATGTGTGACCAGTCACTCCTGTTGCTAACTCTTCAAAAGCTTCCCATTGCCCTGTTGAAAGGTGTCAGTGTGATAAAAAAGTCTTTCATGATATCTCCTGCCTTTATTGCTTGCTTGCTGGGTTTTCCAACTTCAATATCTACTTTTTCCAGGATCTCTGTGCTGAGGGGAGCCAGGGTGAGATTTGATGCAAAACTTAGTTTTGCAAACGTCTTACAAGCCATCCAAGCAGGTCCAAAGAATAGAGCAGAGCTGAACCTGAATAATGGGGAGCAGATCACAAATGTGTAGCTCCTGTGTGCAAGTTCTGAAGGAGATGTGGAGATAAAGAGTTAAGACAAGGTTCTGCCCCAAGGGCCTTACAATCTGTAAAGGAGTAGACAAAGGAGGCATAATCCAAAGGAACTATTCAAGAAAACAATTGTGTGTAGATGTCTACCACATGCCAGGCTTTGCGGCATGAAGGAAAATGCAATTAACTGTCATAAGAAAGAGAGAGGACTATGGGGATGCAAGAGGTGAGAGAACTTCCATTTGAGCTAGATTAGTGACATCTCTATAGGATGGAGGAGCTGGAAGACTTGAAGGGTGGGTAGGGAATGATCTAGAAGAGCAGAGGTCAGGGACTGGGAGAGCATCCGGCCAGAGGGAGCTGCAGGAGTGAAGGTGCAGACTGCGTTCTTTGAAGTTAACGCCACGCCAGAGGGTTCTGTTCTCACCTGGGCTCCAGCCCCCATCCCTGAGGAGGCTTTGGGGATCTGAAAAGTGACATCGCATCACATGCATTTCTCTATATTCGCGTAATGAAACCCTGAAAAGGTTCTGAGGTGTCATAGATGTTACCATCAGATATGGCCGTTGCCCTTTTCACAGATGGAAAGGGTGAGGTTAAGAGGAATTCAGTTAAAATTTGCAAACATTTAAAGTACTTTCTATGCACTAGGGAACACAGAAATGCATAAAAGTGGTTCTCCTTCCTTATGGAAACAGAGTTATTGGCTACAAGAGTTCAGAAGAATAAGGAATCTCTTTAAACTTGAATGTGAGGTGGTAGTCAAGGAAAGCTTCTTGGAGGAGGTATGATTTAAGCAGAGCCCTTAAGCGGGGGTAGGGTTGGCACAGTTGGGGAGGCAGAGGGGGACTTTCCAAGTGTGGGCAAAGCACCAAGCATATTCAGGGGATAGTGAAGACTTCAAATGGGGGCCTGGAAAGGGGCATTCAGGGAGGTGGGTCTGCACAGAATAGGCTGGAGGAGAAGGTGGGGCTGGATACTGGCCCTAAACAATTCACTCTCTCTCTCCTCCTCTCTACCTACTCTGTCTTCCACCAGGACCAGCTACTCTTCTGTGATGACTGTGACCGTGGCTATCACATGTACTGTTTAAATCCCCCAGTGGCTGAGCCCCCAGAAGGTAATGATGAGGAGGTCGACAGTAGCAACAACAGCTACTCCTACCACTTAGGGAGCCCTCACTATGGTGCAGGCCTTGTGCTAAGTCCTTTCCATGTCTTGTCTCATTCAACCATCACAATCCTATGAGGTAGGTACGACCGCTACCATTTTACAGATGAGGAAACAGAGGCACGGTTCCACCCCCTGAAACTTCAGCTTGGGGGCCGAGGAGATGTCTCCCAGACGTGAGGCTGAGGTGGTAGGGAGGTGCAAGCTTCCCGGGGAACTGGCCCAGGCCTGGTGCAGCTGCTGGTGGTGCACCGTCCAGGAATGAGGGTCTTTCCAACAGTTCAGCTGATCGCCTCGGAGCACTTAACTGTTTCCTGAGCGCACTTACCCTCTGCTGAGTTACGGACTCCAGCCCGTGTTCAGCAGCGGGCCTCGGTCTCTGAACGGGAAAGTCAGAAGAGCAACGGGGCTTGCTGGACTTAGGGCCAAGGGGCGGGCCTGAGGGTGGGAGAGGGGCGGCTGGTCAGCAGGGCGTCTTGTTTCTTGTAGGAAGCTGGAGCTGCCACCTGTGCTGGGAATTGCTCAAAGAAAAAGCCTCTGCCTTTGGCTGCCAAGCCTAGGGCCCCGGGTCACGGAACGTGACCTGCTGCTGGAGAGGCTGAGGCGGAGCCCACTTCAAACCAGATCACGCCCCCACTCCCAAATATCCAGACAGACCCACCGTAAGGAAAACCCGTGGTCACAGAGGGCTTGGACGTGTGGAACCGAGAGGGTGAGGTGTCTGCTCACCTCCTACGCACAGGTTCCAGGATTTCAGCCAGCCCCTCCTCATTTCCACCAGAAGGATCTTGCACTTTTGAAGAACACCCTGAGCCCCGGCCCTGTGGAACCCCCTCACATTTACCCTGGCCCTGCAGCCCTCTCACTGGTTCCCATTTTAAGGGAAGCTCTTTTGTGACCACCTATCAGTCACTCACATTGTAGTTTGGTGTTTTCTATCTATTGTGTTCCAAGAAATCTTCACACAGCCTCTCGCCTCCTGCTTTGGCTCTTTATCCTGAACTCAGCAGAGGAACAAAAGGCTGTGGAGAAGTTGTTATTTATGACAAGCCTCCCTGGAAACTTCTAGACTCGGAATCGGGAGGCCGTCTTGATGATGAAAATCCCTTTGTTCCTTGGTCTCTGTGAAGAAGAAAAGTGGTTTTCGGCACCCCCCCCTCCCCGCCCCAGATACCTAGTGCTGTCTGCAGCCAGGGTGGTCTCTTGATGGGGCTGGAGAAAGAAGGAGAAGTGCTGAGGGGTGGGCGGAAGTGTTGGGAAGAAAATTCGGAGGCCACAGCCAATCAGTATTTGTTATCCATCGGGAGTGGCTTTGCAAGGGATCAGGCGTTGCGGTTCCTTGTTGACCTTCAGAGCTGGGGTGTCCTTGAGGTGAGACGAGCCACAGCCTATGGCCGGGGAACAACGCTAAGGCTCTGCCTTCCCACCAGCCTGGGTCTGGAGCTTTCCCTGGTGGGACTCAAGAACCAGGAAAGCAGGTGAAGGCTGCCCAGTCCAGAATACAAGTACAAAGGACTGCAGCTTTGCTAAGCCCATCAGTATTGACGTGGTACCACAGGTTCCTTTCCCCACGTAATTTCTTCCTTCTACACACCGTGTGTTTAACACTGTCTGCCGACACCCGACTCTGGAGGTTTTAGGGTGGGGGAAGAGATGACTGTCACCTAAACAAATAAGCGGGGTGAGCGGATTATTTATGATCATAGTGGCAACGATGCAGAATCCTCAGCTTGAGGGCTTCCCTTGCCCCCTGAGCTCCCCAATACATGCTGGACTCTTGTTTTAAAAAAAAAAAGATGTTTTGAGAAGAAAAGGTGGGAGGCTGAGCGTTCGAGAAGTCTCTGTTGGAAGTCAGCCCTGAGGGCCGGAGCGGCTCGGGCTGTCTTTGCGTCTCGGTGGCGGTGGCCACGGCAGCAGCTCACAATAACTGACACATTTCTGGAAAAATCATTTGCCCAAAGGGCAGGACTCGGTGAGCGGGACCCCCGCGCATGCTCGGCTGCCCTGAAATCAGCTCCATCTCTGTGGTCCGGCTGCTCACAACAAAGGCCGAGGTTATTTTTAGTCCTTCAGCTCCTGAAGAAGCCCCTGGAGACTCGGGCTGGTTGGGCCACTTCTGCCGGGCTGCAGTGTTCCACGACTTGGCAAGAGCCTCCCTCCCGGGCTCACTGCTCTTGGCCAGGGGACCCAGGGCAGCCTGGCCTGGAGCCGAGCGGTGCCGGTGCCCCCCCGGGCCTCGCAGAGTGACCTGTGGCAAGAGACAGGGGTCACTCTCCTGTAGGGGCCCGTGGCCTCCCAGTGAGCTGTGTGCATACATAACAATCTGGTTTAAAGGGCCCTGTCCAGATGGCAGTTTCATCTTCCTCATACGATACGTCCTTCCCCCTGCTGGTTGGGGAACCTGTTTTGGATTCTGGAGGTCCAGGGAGGGTTTGGGGAGCTGCTGTGCTGTCTTGTCACCTGTTCCCCTGAAGTGTCACATCAGATGAGCAGACTTCCTCTCCCAACTGCTCTGGCTCTCTGTCCTCCCACAAAACCCAAAGTGGGGTGTTCTCAAAGGCTGATTGTTGGTTTTGAAAATCACTTTGACTTAATTTCATAGAAAAGGTTACCAAAATGTTCCCACACGTCACAATGGCTTAAAGGTGAAAAAACGAAGTCTGAAACCCCAAACCGTGGCCCTCCTCCAAATCCTCTTTGGAGTGTGTGCAAATTCATTCCCCACCTCGGCGCAGATGATGGGGTGGCCCTGTTCTGCCCGCATCACACCTGCTGCCCGCGGAAGCTGCGAGGAGGGATTGAGTCTTGCAAGGGAGGGTGCTGTAGCCCCACGGTGGAAGTGGGGAGGGGTGCTCAAGGCTCTAAAATGGATGTTCAGAGGGTCCAGAGTTCCCTTCCCAGTTTCATTGCCTGTAGGATGGGTCCAACCTCTTCCTCTTTGGAGATCTCAGTTTCCCCATCGGGAAAGTGGGATAGCAAAGCCAGCTTATGGGACGGCACTTTCAGGGTACTGCAAGCAGACAAAATCTCTAGAGTCACATTTATCACTTTCTGTACTGAAACAAAGAAAGTGATGATAAACTTCAAATTGGTCTTTCTCTGAGCCCCAGAGAACGAGCTAGAATCATGGGGTGCATATGGATGATCCGGGTTTTGATTTTGCCTTTGCTATTCAGTAGCTGTGTGACCTTGGGCAAGTCACTCAATGTCTCTGAACCTCAGTTTGCCCACCTATGAAACAGAGATAATCATACTTGCCCTGCCTGTTCCACAGTGACATTGGGAGACTGAAAAAGCATAATGTTATATAGATAACCACTGGAAAGCAGGGCTTTCCAGGGAGGGATCCCCAGTGCTTTCTATGCCCCCTTCTTGTGTGAATTAGCCAAGTTTAGATGGCCTTCTCAGAATCTCCCTTTTGATCAAAATGGGTTTATGTTTTAGGGGCTGGGCTGCCTGTGATCAGAGCCAGTGGGCCAAAGCTGTGACAAGGACCCATGCATGGGTTTCCTGTTGGTGGGAGGTGAGGGATTTTCCCTGGGGTTGGGGATTTCAGAATGAAGATACTTGGGATACTCCCTTCTACAAGATCATCACCGCCTAGACTGGGAGCCAACTTCTGGAGAGGGCTATAATTCAGTTCCGTGTAACATTCACTTAGAAACTTTGGTGTAAAACCCAGCTCTGCTACTTTCTAGCTGGTTGACCTTGGGCAAATGACTTAACCCCTCGGGGGCTCATTTTCCACATCTGTGAGGCAGGGAGATGTGGCCTCTCCCGTTGGTGCAGGGCTGAGCACGAGTGCTGGTGAAGGTCCTGGCACGGGGCCTGGCCTGACGGAGGCCCCACAGTGGCGGATCTCTTGTCACTGGGTATAGAGGCCACCGAGTGGAGATAATGAGGCCCTCGCCTGCCGGCTCGAATCCCTAGAGCAGCCAGAGTGACTTTGTTCCACTGCACCCCGATCTTGTGGCTCCAGCCTGGCCAGAAGAGGGGGCGAGGCCGTGGGATCCACGCCGGGAGTGGAAAGCCTCTGTTTTTGAAAGACGGCTTTTTGCGCCTGCTTGGAGACTGGCATTCTGATTTCCTTCTCAACCCCCCACTGACGCATAGCACCCAGAGCAGGACCCGTGGGTCCCGCGGCGTCCCTGCTCCTGTCATGGCCCCAGGCCGGGTGGGAAGTCCAGGCAGGCCGCGAGGAGCAGCTGCTCCCCGGGGCCCCGCTCAGACAGGAGACCGGAACGAGGGTGGTGAGCCGTGGGTGGGTGGGAGGCAGGCCAGATTCTTCCAGAGCTGGAGAAGATAACAGGTTTTAAGGTCGGGGGAGGGCTTGGATTTCACAGTGATGGTGTCATGATACCCCAGAGAGTTCCATTCGTGGCGCATTTTAGGCTTTGTACTTTGAACACAGCACGATGATTCCTTTCGGCCCTCCGCTTGAAGAGTTCAGATAGTTTAAGGAAGGAAAATGAGATGATTATTATTACTTTTCCCGCTGGGGTAAGTGTCGGAGACAGACCTGTGCTCTTGAAGAAAGATTGCTGGCAACCTCAGGCTTTAGAGTTCGAGAAGAGGGGCCCCTGTTCTCCTCATTGAGTCTGTGGTTGGCGGGGGAGGGCCGGGAGCCCCAAGGACCACCTTCCCTGTCCCAAGGCTGGTTCTCAGCCTGCTACAAATGGGGAACAGCAGCCTCCCTTCCTCTCTCACTCCCTGACCCGCCCCAGTGCAGGCCCATCCTCAGGACGTGCCTCTGTCACACCCCAAGGAAATGCTGGCTCCCATGCTCTTGTTCCCAGCAAAGACACCCAGCATGCCACAGCTGGTTCCTTTTCGGAGCTGTGCATGGTGTCACCTGTAGTGGGCTCATTATTTTGCGGGAGGGAGGGAGGAAGGGGGGCCCAGAGGAAGGAGATGGGGAGGGTCAAAGATCTTTCACGTCAGGCAAAGCAAGATGAAGAGAAGGGAGGGGAGGGCACTTGAGGAGGGCCCAGGAACCTGATTTGCACTTGGAAGTCCTAGAGCTAAATAAGTAGAGGGTGTGGGGTGGGGAGGCAGAGCGCGGGCAACTGCTCTGGTGCCTTGAATGTGGGAGGATGAACAGAGCCTCCAGACAGACGGACTGGGGGCTTCCTTTGAGCATCTCAGCAGCTGCTCCTAGGAAGGCCTGGCTGTGTGGCCCCCTCTCCATGCTTCCAGCCCAGGCTGCTGGGAAGAGAGGCCCAAAGGAAGCACTTCCAGGAAAGGGGGGTGGGGAGGGGTCTGGGCCTTGCCCGGTCCTCCTCCAGTTGGTTTCCTAGAACGAACAGGGGGCTCCCTGTGCGAGGGAAAAGATCTAGAAGTGGGTGGATTCCCAGGGAAGCCTCTGTCTGGGCTCTGAGTGAGGCTTGGCTGTGTCCCTGCAGATGGCTGAGACCTGAGGTGACTCCCCAGGATCCTATGCGGCTGTGGGGAGGGGGTGTGGATAACAGGAGTCAGAGGGTACAGGAATGCCCCTTGGTCAGTCTCTTTGTTCCCATCTCCCTTCCTTTCTTTGCTCCAGGGTTTCCCCCTCTTTGGCCCCACCAAGAGAAGGAAGCATTTGTGCTGATGGTGACATTTCCCAGGGCAGGCCAGAGGAAGGCAGGAACCGGGACTGGCGGGCAGCCAGAGCTCTCTTCGACAGAGATATAAATACTAATCATGACCTCTAGCCTGGGCAGCGAGCAAAGTGGCCATTCAGGACGGCACCGACCCAGTCTGGCACATATATGTGCCGTGGTGGGAAAGGCAGGGAGGGGAAGCGGTCCCTACAGGATTTGGGGAGGCCCCTGAGCCCCTGTATTTCCCCTCAGCAACCTCTCCAGGTTATATTTACACCCAGTGCATCCTGTTTGCCTGCCTCTTTGCCTCTCTATTACTTCTATCAATGTTATCAATATTGATGATGAAAACAGGGACACACACACACACACACCCCTCGCTTAACAAACTAAAGTGAACCTTCTGTGTTGCTCCAGGACGAGAGGGAGAACCTGCTTGTCACAGGGGGTCTTTCCCTGAGGTCCAGCCAGGCCCACCCCAGGTTCCAGCCCCTGCACACCTCGGGGACTTGTACGGGGAGCCTTATGCTTGGAGGACCACTGGCACACGGACTCCTTCCCCTCTTCCCTCACTTCTGCTTCTTTGGGGGAATGTGTTTGGCAATCGTTGTGGACTTGGAAGCAAAAGTCTCAATCCTGCTGTCAAAGGGACGTGCAGATTTTATGGCTGGAACTGGGAATGTGGTTCTTATTGACTTTGCCCTTTTGTGTTTACTCCCCACCCGAGGCCTTGGTTCTCCTCTTGCTTGGCCCACCTCCTTTCTTGCACCCGCCCCTCCCTTCCCTCCTACCACGCTAGATGCCGAAGGGTGGGGTGCTGGCAGGAACACGCAGTGGCACAAAAGGAAGAGAAAATATACCCCCTGCACATTTTCAACATGTAGTTGAAGAGGTCTAAATTAGGTACTAGAAAAAAGGGAAGGAAGCATTGCTAGATAATATGTGAGCGAGAGAACGAAACTATAGAATGGTTAGCTCAGAGCAGAGGAGGTGGGAGCAGGTGGCTGGGAGGGGGCTAGGGAGGCAGAGAGCCCTAGCTTCCAGATGCATCTGGTCTCTGTGGCATTTGGGAAAGCAGAGGAGTCACGCTGTGGCAGGAAACGGTCAGATGCTTAGGGAGCATTTGTGCCTTTGGCTGGGAAAACGAGAGACATCCATCCGAGTTGCTCACCGTTTATCTGCCGTGTTTGCCCACAGGGCATTTTTGCTCTGAAGGAAAATGAGCACATTTCTTGCCCGCCAGGAGGGGTTGCTGGGCAGGCTGGTACTGGCTAAAACACTTGGCAGGGCAACACACTAGGTCCTCTGGGGGCTGGAAAAAGAAACCACATCCTGGCCCAGCCTTCAACCTGCTTTTCAGTTCCAAAATCACACTCTCCCATGGCATTCTGACCACATGTCTGGTAACATACCATCAGGGAAGGTGTATGTGTAATCTAGGTCTCTCCTTTTGTGTTCATTCATGCATGCTCATGGATAGAAGAGGAGCAGGCTCAAGTATCTGGTCGTTTCCACCCTCTGGAGAGGCTGGGGGGAAGAACACCGTTGACCTCAGCCTAGTTGCTTGCATCCATCTGCCCAAGCACTGGCTGCCCTTGGAAGGTGACCGTCTTTACTATGAATTTCAGCGATGATGAAGGCACCTGGGTTGGGGTGCGCCGAGCGGCCGAAGGGAGCTGGGGCCGTGCCTCCAAATGCTGGTTTGGACTCCTGGGGTGGTGGGCGGGGAGGGGCAATTGGTAGGGCCTGACCAGAGCTGGAAAGTGACTCATCTGACAGTCTTGTCCTGTCCCCACTCGAAAGAGCAGAGGGGAATGGTGGGATGGGGGCCTCATGCTCAGCCTGGGGGGTGGACTCCCTTGGAGACCCCCAGCAGCCTGTCTCGGCCTCCTGTGCAGTTCTGGCAATGGCAGCGGGAGGAGGGCACGGGGGAGAGACGTAACGCTGGAGGCGTTTCCAGTAACCCTCCTATGCCCACCTTTGGCCAGGTGCTCATCGGATCCCGACTTCATGCTTCAGTAGACTCCCTATTGTCTGAATTGACGGCATCAGGAAGAAGCCATTTGTTCTCTCTTGTCTCTGCACAGGTGACAGCCAGATTTCGGCTTCTCGCTGCTCCCTGAAGCAGCGACACTGAGCCTGCTTTCAGGCTGGAGGCCGGGGCTCCGGGGAGGGCACGGATCTGCTCGGGTGGGGGTGTTGGTGCCGAGCCGGCCGAAAGCCGCCTTGGTGTCTCTGCTGGGGCAGCCCCGGGAAGGCTCTTTGGGGTCCCTGGACAGCATGTGGCTCCGAGCAAGGCAGAATTTTGGTGATCTCGGTGAGAGACTCAGGGACATAAGGCTTTCGTAATGCTTGGCTGCCAGACTGGTTTTCAAGTGATTGAGAACGGGAAATGCATTCTGGGCTTTGACCACTGCCCATATGAAAGCCTTCGGTTCTTTTGAACTGAGCCTCCTTTGAATGACCCCGATTCACCTGGTCTGTTGTGCTGGTGGCAGGGCAGAGGGGAGAGTCATCTGACTTGGATCCCGTCCAGGCCAGACTGGCAGCTCCATTCCCAGGCAGCCGGCTTCAGACTCTGAGCCCACTGGCCCCCTCAGCTCCATGAGGGATGGACCTGGGAGCGGGACAGCTCAGAGCCCTGAGACGGTCTCCCCTCCTGCCTCCACCTGAGTAGACTCTTAGGCTGAGAACACAGCCTGCTCAGACCCCCTCCCAGCCTGATGCTGACCCACTGGACCAATTAGGAAATCGACGCCGGAAGGAGAGGCTGGCCTGTTCACGTGACACAGTGGACTGGGGCAAAAGCCAGTCCTCAGGTAGGTCTGCTCCCCAGCCCCCATGCGTTGAGGCTGAGGGCGATTTTAAAGCCTGGTTTTGAGAACATTCCCTTTTGAGAGCCAAGAAATGGAGCATCTCTGCCCAGAAGCCAAAAGAAACTGCTTTTCTTCTTCTAGTTGCCTGATGCCCCACTGTGTTTCTCCCCAGGAGAAAGGAGGCTGGTTCTGGGGGCTTTGGTGAGGGCTCCCACCACATATGAAGCCTGGAGTTGCGGGTGGGCTAGGGTAGAAAGGGTGAAGAGGTCCTTTAGAAGAAGCTTCCTACCCAGGTACCGCATGAGGAAGCCCATGCCTGTGTAGGTTCTGGGAAGGGCATGGAAGCCCTTGGTTGGGCTCAGAGCTGGAGAAGTCTGGGAAGGGCTTAGTCTCCACTGCTCTGTCTCAACTGGTGAATAGACCCTGGGTGCCTTGCAGCCTCATAAATTTACTGCCCCCAGATGGCTTTGGCCATATTTGGAAAGGGTAGCCCTGGAAATGTCCCAGTGATCTCCTATTGCTAGGTCTCCATTGTATCTCTAGACCTGCAGACACGATGCAAACTCGGGGTCGCTTTCTTCCGGGTGTGGGCACAAGAGAGGGAAGCCCTTTCAACAGGAACACCCCCATCTTTCCAAAGTGCTTTCTTGTCTCTTGTACTCTCTCACCCCACCCCCACCCCGCCCCAGCTCTTTCTGAAACTCTTAGTCATAAAAGAATGGCCGAGAGAGCTGGCCTTGGCGATAGACATGCCCGCGACTGAGGGGCTTACTTTTATGCTCCCTTGGACTCCCTCCCCATTGGACCTTGGGTTCCAACACCACAGTACCTCCTGCTGACTGGACAACT